ACATAACATTTCTGTCAGTCTAAATCTTCTGACAGCTAATTTAAGTCTTTTGACAAAAACAGAAGATTTTAAGAAGAAACAGAAAAGATATTAATGAGGAGCTTCCTATAGAAAATGTAACTCGAATAATATAATTTTGAAAACATTATACAAACATATGTTTTTGGGGTATCAGAACTATACATACATACCAAATGTATTATTACAGGATATGTGGATCATATGGTATAACTAGTAGCAACCTTTGGAATATTCAGCAAAAAATTTTCCAAATGTCAAGAAATTTGTCAAAATCTTTGGTATAGTTCAGAGCACTTCTTCGTGTTTCTTAGCCAACAGAAATAGTCTAATCAACTTTCCTTTGATTATGTATAATGAAAAGGTTATTTAAATTTGAAACAGATGATGAGGTAAATGCAGGTTTGTTGATCATAGTGCAGAAATAACACCCAATAAAATTACTTCTTCTTTTATTTTGTAGCAGCCATGAGGCTTGTTCTACGCATTGTGTTTTGCCTGCATTTCTTGTGATGCACATCTTTTTGGAAGTCGTCCTAGTGGCCTTTTGGATGCTGGTCTACAATTTCTTGAAATCCTTGGCAGTCTATTCCTTTCTATTTGTAAAACGCGCTCGTTCTTACCACATCTTCTATTTCGCATTCTTCCTCATTGCTTGTTCTTTTCTGATTTCCTAGTGTGTTTCGAGTGATTGCTCTCAAAATCCCTATCTCGTTGGTATACCCCATTTTCTTGAGATCCTCTGTGTCTACCTAGACGCTGGTTTTGTATATCCTCACTTTGGTCTCGGTAGATATGCAGTTGTTTTTCCAGAGGGTTGTTGAGTTCTTCATGAGACGATATGCTTACACCCAAATAAGTATAGTCTGTTTCTTACTCTATCATATGGCTCCCCTCTAGTTTACATGTGCTTACCATAGTTCTCTAGATATTACCATAGTATTTGTTTTAGTAACATTTACCTCATGTTGACTTTTTCCGATTGTATTTTAAAGTAGTATCTATTGCATTTCATCTTGCAGTCAATGTTGCGTGGCCGCGTAACATTTTACGTTTTACCTTAAGCACTGGTTCTATAATCCCGGCCAAACAGATGTTGAAAAGTAGTTAGTTGTACTTTCTTACAAAAATCTAATCGGTATCTCGTATGGGATTCTAACGATCATAAACAGTTTGTTAATAAAATCATTACATAGTATTGTATGTAATCACATTTTGTAAACAGCACAATGAACGATAATTCTGTAAATATAAACATTGCATTGAATGCATTATTTCTACTTGTAAGGAGAAAGTTTTTAAAGATAATAAAATCGTTAAAAGCCATTAAATTGGGAAGATCAGATGAGATTATAACTTTTTGTAAAAATTATGCGACATGTGGCAGAGTAGATCTCTTGAAGAATTTTTGATACAATCACAAAATACTTATAGATAAATTCAGTTATTATGAGCTAGGGGAATTTCGCTGTTAGAGATTAAATCCTATTTATCTATGAGAACACGATTTGTAAAAAACTACATAGAAATAATAATATAAAGCACATTAAATATAAAAATACTTGATTATAGTGACTATGAACTTTGTAGATGATATAATTAACCAAACCAACAATGTCATAATAATGTTTACATCTAACAAAAAGTTTTGAAATGTTTATACATGAAATGACAAAAATATTTTAATTGGATAGAATAAGTCACCATATAGTTAAGCATATTGTGTCATGGCCAAAGACGTTTTCAATAAATTGGCAATCTTTATTGTCGGGTATAGTCCATATATTTGGAATTTATGGTAGTATCGTACGCAAAAAGATTGTGACATGAGCAGATAGCATAGAACTTGATCATATAATCACAGAGATACCTAATATAGTTGTTTCTTGAATATTTTAAGACAAATAATTTCTAAATAATATGCAGTATATAAATTATAGATCCGAAAAAACATTTCTTCTCCATTTAAGTCACCAAACGAAAAAAAATCCCTTATTTACATGCATCAATTTTCAGAAATATCAATGAATATTTAATGATCATGTTGGTATTCATAAAGTGTTCTTCTAAAGTGTTAGATGGGAATTTCCACTGAGATTAGAATTCCAAGAAGTGTTAACATTTCCGGAAAACAATTTATAATTTATGAAATAGCAGACAAATGAAAAATGTTAATAAGAAATCTTTAAACTAACGAAAATTAATTAACATTTTAAATAAACATATTCGTCGAACCGCGAGTTAAATAATAAAATTCATTCATTCTAATTTAAACCATTCTTGACTACGGTCATTCTAAAAATAGAAATCAAATCAAAAATATTGTAACATGAAAACCAAACATAAAGACGATAACCTTCCATATTCTTTTTTTAAATTACTTTTTTTATGTAAGCAAAAAGAGAGAGAAAAGCCACTAGACCAAGGTTCCGACCAGATAAATTGTTGCTAGTCCGAAATAGTACACGTTACGTAGTATATGTAAGTAGGTACTTAATAATAATATTATCGGCAACGAGTTACTACGATCCGACGATGCTGTAGCACGTAAAGATCGCGTGAGCGTCCGTAGTAGGTAGGCGAAGCATGCGCGCGCTTCTGTCATTCACATCCCTCCTCCCGCTCCAAAAGCGTAGTACGTCTACGTAAATGTACGTAGTATTGTGGAATGGGCGCGAGTGATTCGCAATCGATCGCCAACGTCACCATTTAAGTACTATATTAAAGACTACAACAGAAAGAGATAACAATTCTATGCAAATTGAAATAGAAGGAAATAAATATTGATTAACGACTACACAGAAACTGACTGTTACATAAAAGAAAAATTTACTTTTCCCACCCAAGACATTTGCACTTGGACTAGTGCAAAGTGAGATAGAGGAGTATTTGGCGCCAAGGCAAAGTACGTACACGGAACCGAGTGGCGGCGCCGGCAAAAATTTCCCAGTGATGCAGTCGTGCGCATTGGTATTTTTAAACCGTTAAATAACGTGTCGGTACTACTGCACCAGGAAAAACGCTGTATTATTCTGGAAAAATGTATGCACTGCACAGTTGGCCCAATATGTGTTGCCAAGTAAACGTACTACTTTCCTAACAAACAATCAAAATCGTTATTTTAACACCGAGTCACTAAACGCATAGTATAGTACAGCATAATTTTAATGCACACAAATTCGAACAGCTATGCAGCATTTGTTAATTCTAGTTTTAGTGCAATAAATATATACAACAATCTAGTACTGAATAACAATTAAAACTAGAACTAACACTACATTAGGGTTGCATTAGGAAACACGAAACTTGCTAGTTCTAGTGTTAGTTCTAGTTTTGCACTAGCACTATTACTAGAACTAACACAAGACCTAGAATCATTCGGGTTTATAGAAAAAATATAGAACAATATACAAAAATATGCAACATCTAACACTGAATAATAACTATAACTAGAACTAACACTAGACCTAGAAACATTCGGGTTTAGCCGTCTTAAGAGACGCATAGCCGAAACCCGAAACATTCTAGTTCTAGTGTTAGTTCTAGTTTTAGTTTAATAAAAATCTAGCGCTGAATAACAATTAAAAGTTTACTATTAAGTAACTGTTATGCATCATACATAGTATGATACGAATTGCTATTTAAAGGTATCTATTCTTAGATAGCCAAGGGAATTGGATCACGTACATTATAAATATTATCGATACTAAAAGTATCGATTGGAAAAAAAGTAATGTTTTGATCGACTATAGAATTGCATTTTTCACTGTAATTGTTACCGGCGGGCGCCGGCTAATGACGTAAAGATTCATTCTTAGAAACCAGCGGACACGACAGCGCATTCTATACCCATGAGTAATACTCACAATTCGGTTCATACATGAGAATTAACTCCTATATGACACAACGACTAAAAATGTTTAATACAGTATTAAGGCAGATAAAATCGAAATAGTTATGTCACACTTATATATAAGCTTTCAATATCTAAAATAAGCTACTAAAATGTTTTCATCATGTCAAAAACAGCACAAAGTCTATAAATAAATAAACAAACATGAGTACTTAATAAGTTTAACAACTCTAATCGGTACATAAAGCGATTTTGTTGCACTATGTACTATTTTGAACAAACACAGATAGATAAAGTATGCTATTAGTAGTTATTAGACTCCGGCTAAATGCGGTTTATTTTGGATGTGCGGCGACTGGTATTTCGAGTGGTGTCCGGGGGGCTTTTACGAAACGCGAGGCCAATTAAATCGTCGGCGTCGCGGTTGACGCCGAGATAATAAAATCATTTTTTAAAGACGCCAAAAATTCGAGTGGGCGCCCAGATAAGGGGCTTTATCTCGCGACTCGCGATCATCTCCGACGTCGTCATCTCGAAATTGCAAGGCGCGCCGAATCGATAAAGCAAAAATTAAATCTGAACGTTATTTATAAAACCAGTCTATACATATTTATAGAGTTATCGGCTTTTACTTGCTAAATATATACAACCACACCTTTTAATTAAACACCCTAATACAACAATTTTGAAAAAAAAACCGGATGTAATTATTATAAATTATGTCATTGTTGTCAGATTCGTTGAATTTAGTAACATTACATAAAAAATGAAAATACTAAATTATTATTTTTAATATTTAGGTCAAAAAAAAAAAGATTAGAGGGTTAATGACCCAATGCAGAGAGGAAAAACGCCAGATGTGTTAAATATGCAAATCCACAACCGTTTGAAAAAGGGGATTAGAAAAATTGACAACTCATCATTAGTTTTTGGTCACCCTTGGTAGTTTTGCACCGATCCCCTTCTCTATAACGCCGCCCCTATGATGAGGGCTACACGGAAGAACCAAAAAAAAAGTAGGGTAACGGAACAGGAACTAGAAAACTCTTTGAACCTCCCCGAAATATAATAACGAACAATGATCCCATAATTAATACCGATCCTGTTTCCCTGTATATGTTAGACTTACCGGAATCTGAGGGTGTGACGATTCCACCAAAACTGCTGGTAGGAGGAGGTGGGCCAAAACAGTTCTTGTGGTAACTATGATCGTAGTGGACTTCGGGGGGATCTTCATCGCATTCTTCCTCCTCTTCCAATTCTTCTTCTTCTTCTTCATCGGATTCGTCTGATTCCAATGAATCTTCTTGGGATTCTTCCGAGTTGTTGTAAACTTCATTGACCATGACCGCTTCGTATAAATCCTCGATCGTTTCCGTTCCCGATAAGTAATCGCTTAATTCGGCGTCAATGTTTGTTTGAAAACACGATGAATCTTCGAGAGGATTACAAACGTGCTGAACCAATCGTCCTAAACACGGTGGCATATCTCGTTGTTGCTGTTGACGCTTCTTTTCAGGTGACATCATTAATCCGGGAGAATTTTTCGGTTTTGTAATTAAATCTTTACTTTCCGATGTCGTTAATAAACTCTCCGGTTGTTGCTGTTGTTGGGGTTGTTGTTTCGATTTTAAAAGACTCGCCTTATTATAATAATTTGTCGGCGGCGTTGTTGGCGGTTTGTTGTTCATTTCTCTAACAGTTACCAACCATTCAGGCATCGTTCTTTTATCGATCGTTCCGTGTTGATTATCGACACAATAACCCATTAACATACAGTCGTGTCTATGACGATCAACAGCGTCATTTGGAATACCACCCGAAGATATTTCACAACTACGAATGTTATTTTCCATGATAAAGTGTTTCTTTAAACCTTCCAAAATGGCATCATTTGCTTCCAAAAGTTGATCGAGAAGGTCATCCGCACGTCCATCATCGTCCGTTAAATAACATGGATCTATTATATCTAAATCATCCGCTATGCTATCATAAAAGCCGTAGCTTCTTGCAACTTCTACTAGACTAGCGTCCATTATTTTATTTTAATTCTTCTAACGTACTAAATTAATTCAATTCGAGGGGTATTCTTATACACTAATATCACAATGGTCTTCTTTAAATTTACGAACTCTAAAAATAAAAAGAAAATTTATTATTATCATTATTTACATTGCGATATAAAATTTATTGTGTAAATAACAATTCAAGATCAAGGCTTTATTTTTAACGAAGAAGATAAGATCTTAAAATATATGCTATAATAACTAATTATATAATTAATGCATTAAAAATGAATTAAACGTTTTAGAGTTTAACTATATGCATTTTTTTAAGAAGACTTGACTCGAAGCGTTTCAAAATCGGTATATCATTGTAGTGTAATAATAGCTTCGGAGAGATCAAGTAATAATGAATGCCATTTTATTGGTATTTTCGAGTTATACTTATTCAAGCTATACATTATATAGTTTCCATGTTCTCTCTGCAGCAGAAAATGGCCATTGACCAACGGCCTAAATTGCGGTATTGGTACATAAATGATTAAATGTATAAACATCGGCCATTGTGTCAGTGTAGCAATAAATTGTTATTGGTTTCCTTGTGTCTCTTAGCGAATGATTGATAATAGCCTCAATAAGAACGGAAGTTATTCATCTGTATCAGTATACATATTTTGGGATATGGATTTATTTTATACTGGAAATTAAATACACCGTGTTACGATATAAGATAGTGATGTTGCGGTTCACACAAAAGAGATGTTGAGATTGAGATTTAGCATATAAATAATAGAAAAATGGCAACTGAAGTGAATTTATGTTAACAATGTTATTACAGCCTACCATAACATACCTAACCACCTTTCATAAAATTCTTATTTATGGCGAGATCATAATTTAATGATTAAACGCAACTAATAATAAAGAACATCGCGACAACTGGCGGAGAAGATCTAACGAATTCCTGGACTGCAATATCTTATACTGTAACCAATATAACAAAAAACAACAACAGCAAGATAACAAAGTTGACAGATGAGACACTAGAGCTAATAAACGAACGAAGATCTTATATAAACAAAAATGATACCCGATACAGGACAATACAGAGAACAATCAGATCGAAAATCCGTGTAGCAAAGAATGAATAGTTGAAATAGGAATGCGTAGTGATCGAAAATCTACAGAACCAACAAGATACCTTCAGATTAGGAGGACACAAAAGATTGGGAAAAATGCTTTGAAAAACTATTCGTAAACGAACTCATAAGGAGGTTTGAAAACAACAAATGCATAACTGGTCCAACAGTACTTAAGGAGGCGCCAGAAAAGGTAATTTAAAATTTCAAAAATCATGAAATACCTGACACGGAATAAATTCAATTGGAGATTTTGAAACTACCAGATGAAAGTGGCATTACCAATCACAACCAACACATTCCATCACCCAATGTAAGTGAGGTGAGGTAGTTGGGTGAATGTTATATACAGTATATCCATAAAGTCATGGCGCACTTTTGATCGACCACAAGAAAGCAACAAAGTCAGATAGAAATGTGAAATCTTCACCAAATCCACCTCTTTAACATCTATGGAGAGTACATAATGAGAAAAACATTTGACGAATGGAATGGAGGGATCTCAATTGCGGGCAAGAAGATTACAAACCTGAGGCACATACAGTCGATTGTTCGTCGACGAAACAATTTAGTCGGATTGGTTTGAAATCGCGCGATACTTTGTCAATATATAATCAACTCAGTTGATCTGCTCTGCAGTTGTGTTGTGTGTGCACCTACATTAATCTTTATACATTAATGTCCATCAACTAAATTATCAGCCGACTAAAAATTGAGTGTATGTGCCTAGCCTTAATATTAATGCAGAAAAACCCAAAATAACGATCCGGTCTGATATTCTGCAACAGATTTCAAATAGTAGACCAGATGATGTACCTAATCTTATATATTGATAACACAGATTTAAGTGGTTCAATAAGACTCGCTAAAAGTGGAGTGACTATCTAAGATCTGGAAAGATCGCTATATTGCAAAAAGTACTAAAATGCTCTAGTTCAATCACTGATAATCATCTTCCGATATGAGGCTGAAACGTGGACAATTAAAGCAGCGAACAGAAAGAGAATTGTGCGATTGAAATGTAATGCTGGAAATCTGATCCAGAATAGACTATCTTTTATTTATCTTGCGAATATCCTGAAGTTGGTATCGGAAAAAAGTAGAGCAACGAAGAACCAACCTGCTGGACGAAGCAGATTCAGAAGATTACCGCCACTTTGTTTTATGAATGTGTAAATAAGGCCCGAAATCGAAGTCATTGGAGAATACAAAGTTGGTAATGATCAGTAATGAGAGAGCGAAAGAAAGAATTTATGTAAATTTACAAAAACTTCAATAAACTTCTCATCATTCACTCATCAATAGCTCTTCCCCCTTATTTTTTCTTTGCATAACACATTTGCAACGCAAAGGAATTCGTGATATTACTCATTTATGTAACATCAACAATCGCATACGGGTTTTATAATTATTACACTCCAATACATAATTAACTTTTTCTTTTTTTGTTATATTTATAGATTTTTTTTTGCCAACAAAAAAAAAACATACGCGTTGAAGGAATGAGTATGATGGTATAGTATCGAATATGTAAGGTCGACAGCCGAAACTGCACCGTCTAGACACAACATCGTTATTATTATTAATTGAGCCCCTTTTTTTCTTCGTGAAGGTCACGCGGGACGGGGCTTGCTTCTTTATTTATATGGTTTTTTTTTCAATTTTATTTTTGAGCATTCCCGCCGATAAGCTTTCATTCATGGAATGGGGCGTGGGAGCGCGGTCCGGTGACACAGAATCGACACACACACGGTCATAAATGCTGCGTGTCAAGCCATATGACCTTGTGGTTCCTTTGCCGTTTAAAAATACCATATGCAACTAAAAAAAATATTTAAAAAAATTTATCTCAAAATTCAATTTACATTAATAGTAATTATTTAAATGAATAAGAAGATAAGGAAGAATTCAAGGTGAAATAATTCTGTTTTAATTTACATGGTAATCGATTTTAAATCGTTCTTTAATGTAATATAATAGAATACAAAATTCCTGGGGGGAAATCTTTTGGTTTTATAAAATATGTAGGTACTTTCGTTTGCAAATTGAGTACCAAATTGTATCGATTAATGTTACGTTAAAAGGGAAAGTTAATTTAAAAGAAAAATTAATTTTGAATAAAATCCAAAAAAACTTACAGTGTCCGCTGAAAACCAGGGAAGTTAAAAAAAAAGTTTGAGTTCTTCAAAAGAAGTTCCTCGCCGGGCGATGCGAAGAAGAGTTTAAGTAGAAGGAGCAGCACTCTTTCGTCGTATACACCACTTTTAGTCGAGGAGCGGCGCAGATCTTAGCACAGTTTTTTTCCGGACACAGCGCGCGAAATCTGTCGAGACTATAATGGTTATAAAGTTCACGGGGCCCTGGGAACAATTAGAAACTTGGCTACGACAACACAACTTCTTCCTCTGGTCCGCGTGCAACTTCGTATACATGCTTCAGGGGGTTATGTGGTTAAGGTGGTAAGCTGAGGGGCTCACACTTTATTATTAATTTATAGAGAACGACCCGTGTCCGAGAGTGCCGCAGACCGACTGACGCCCGACGAAGTCTTGGATATGACTGAAGTGGGAAAAACGAAGCGCGGCCAACGAGATGCCGGTATCGCCGGTCGACATGTGCCGAAAATTCCTACACCGTACGCCCGATTTTATATAAATTCCTCTAACAAATCAAGATTATTCGTTAATGTCAATCTAAAAATATAATTCTAATTCAAAAATTATATCGATTAGTATTAATTTTTTCGGTTGACTTGGTGTACTTATCGTTATTTTCAACGATTTTTTTTGGTACTAGTTATCGTTGCGTAGTATGCCGGCCGGCGGATAGAAGGCGGTGGGAGCGTGACACGAAATTTCAAGGCCTGCTTCGCTTTAAATCTTTCGATATTGCTGCGTGTAAAAACTGACAGTTTAGATCCTACAAATGATTTTTTCAGTTCTTTCGTTACTTCATATTCAAATTCATATATCATATTAAAAAAAAATCATATCATATTTCGCAACATCTTGTAAATCCATGCAACATCCGTCTTTTAACAAACGCTCAATACAAAAATACCTTCTTTTTATTTTTAGGGATTTGACGTTCTAGATTTAGACCGGCCAAGAAATTAAGGTTAAAACGTAAACTATTCTTTTTCTCAACATTATTATTAACTCGTACATTTCAACATCATCATTATTATAAAAAATACAAAAATAATTCCAAATTAATTACGCGTAAATTGCAATTTTTCAAAGTTCATTTTTTGATACATACAGTGTGTCCGTAAAGTAGCGGATATAACCAATAAAATCATTATAAACAGTAGTACGATGAAAGTGCATTCATGGTTACTCTATTATTTCTGGTTTTTCTTAGAGCAAATTCAATCTCCACCAGCGAAATATCTGGCATTTCTTCAAATGCTTGGTTTGTAATGCCTATTTCCGCTGATAGTATGTCTGTTTCTGGATCTAACTTCATATTCTTATACCACCTACTTTTGTACAGCTTTTTATTCACGAGCAATGAGTCGTAGTTTTTGCAACGATGTCGAAGACTTTGTCAAAAACATAATTTTTTCCTCAGAAGGAACATTTACTTTGAGCGGACAAGTAAGTATAGACAAAATTGTCAGTATTGGGCTACCCAAAATCCACACTGGAAAAGAAATAGATCAATGTGCGGAGCGAAGTAAAGACACTGCCCTGTGTCCTTACTTTTTTGAGGAAACCTTAACTAGAGAGAGATATACAGATTTTTTAAAACGATATCATAATGTTGACCCAACTCAATTCCAACGGCAGTTATTCCAATAAGATGGTGCGCCACCACACTTCAACAAGCTTTACTAAATCACTTTTTGAGCTTTTAGTTACAAATTTGAAGTAATTAAACTTTAAAGTAATTTTTCTCGAATATTTTCTTATGTAACCAATATTAATATTAACTGTACTAGATTCAGAAAAAATCCTCTTTCATATTCTGTAATAAAATGTGGGATTGGGCTTTACGGACATCATGTATAAAAACCAGACGCAGTTAAATCGTTAAATATACAACGTTATCGCAGATTATGCGTCGTTTAATAATCGATACAGCTTACGGGATTATTAATTTTTACAACAACCTTAGAGGTGACATAAAATTATTGAACAACCTTCTCAAGTTCTCACCTTTTCACGCTGCGCCAAAATATAATTATAATTTTAATTACACATTTTGAGATGCGTTTAAATTTAATTTTCCCATTATCATTATCTCATAACGTGAAAAACAAATTTTACTCACGATTATGTGTTGTTGTTGTTGTTTCTTGAGAAGGTTCGTTTGATTACTTCCCATTCTAACGGTAATTTTAATAAGTAAAATTATAACAAAAATCATAAAACTGGAAATTCACATTGAATATGATAAATCATGTTTAAATTGTTTATGGTGTAATAATTCTTAAAGTTGATATGTAGGCGTTTCAAAATTAATCCTTTGCAATAATAACAAAATTCCAGACAAAATATTCTGTATGAAATCTCATAAAATATTTCGATTATTGTTGTAATATTAAGGAATTTTACATTTAACACAAAATTTGAACGATTTAAAGTTAGTAATTGGATCTAAAAATGTTACTCAAACAGGAGTATAACTCAAAAGACAGAAATCAGCTGTTTGTACGAATGAGGCATATTTTCTCAAATCCAATATACCAACGACATTTTTTGTAGGTGTATTGGCAGCGAAATTTTGTATATCATGGTGGTATACTAGCGTCGTCTATATATATAATATGTCTACTACAATTACTAAGAGAGTTTGTCAAAATGTATTACTACAGGCGAAAAAGAAAGAAAGGACATTATAAACGAAGATCCTGCATTGACATGCACATATTAATACTACTATTATTTATTCTAAAGTTTAAAGAGTTCTTGAAATAAATTTCAACATATAAAAATGAAAGATGTTTATTTGCAAGAAGCTATATCGTGTACAACTAAACTTAAAATTACTCTAGATACCTTGAAATGGTAGACCTTCTGCATTTGTTTCGAGTACCATTGAACACAATTCCATGTTTCTATCAGAAGAACAGAGAAATTGAACAATTTTTGACTTTTGCAGACATATATGGACAGATCCGGCTCATAGCTGTAGTGAAAGTAATTGATCTAGGAGAAGGAAATCTCTGATGTGGCTTCCTGGTAGAGGGTTGAGGCGTTGGGCCAACTCCCCGGTATTGGGAAAAGAATTAAACAGTTAAAAGAATCAGTCAACAGCAACGAAGAATCTATTACTTTATAAAGATGTGCATGCACTCAAAAAACAAAGAAAGAAATATATACTTGGCACTTTCGTTTGATTTTGATCAAACGAGCATAAACTACGGTACAAACAGGCGCACCAAAACAAATATAATACTAATAATAAAGGAGAGACGAAGGAGAAGAAGAAAGAGAGGTGATTAATGATAAGTTTGGTGCAATGGTGTAAACGGTAATTGTTGGATAGATTGGGGTTCGTATGTTTAAATCCTGAGAAATATGACACAGGTACATTTTAATGAATTTGATGGGTCTATGGGTGCAGATTTTTATTCTATGACGAATCGATGGTTTTTAAAATCGATTGTTATTCCTTTAATACTAATGATTTGCTACATAAGAAATCTTGTTTGGTCACTAATCTATCAGGAAAGATAAAACATTGAAGCAACAATTACTCAGTTAATTTAGAAGCACGAGTTTTTACAACGGATCATGGTGATAAATAGCGTTCACTTTTCAGGAAGCTTTTAGACACTTGTCAAAGCTTACAATAGTAAGGTCTGGTTGATATACCTCCTTCACATTAGTGTATCTAAAGTGGCTAGAATGACTATGTATAGAGACTCCAACTCGTTTAAATTTAGTGTGCTGTTTGGCAGTTCTAAATTATATCGATATTGCCAATTTAAATCTTACACAATTCTTAGGCAGCATAATGCCTAAGAAATTGGTTTGTATCAATAACAAGAATGTCATGATATAGGCAGATATCTATCTGTTCATGAATATCCCCTCACATAATGTGTATGTCGTTGCATTTCATATATTGCACTGTGGTATAATAATAAAAAATATATAATAAAATATAAATATATAAACACTCAATATAAATGTCGTACCTAACATTGGTTAACTGAGGCAGTATAGATGATGTTTACCTACATAGCACGGTAGTTTATACAGAAGTAGTGAACACAATTTTAACAGTTTCTGTTGAAATTAGTGAAAAATCGCAAACTTATTTAATTTTGTATTATAAGTTAGACCCTAATAATATCCATTGTTACTATTATAGAGATATTGTCTCAAAACTTAGCAGCTAAAATATATATCTAAATACTAATAGTTGCTAAGGAATTTTCACTCACAAACCTAATTTTTCGAAAAAAATGGATTTCTCTTGGCGACCTAAGTAATATTTAAAACATTTTAAGTACATTATAATGGCCACACGATAAAATACTATATTTAAACGTTTTTTTTTGAGAGATTATACAAATAATTACGTACTAATAATATAACTTACATAACGCTTTCAAAATAAGTAATTATTAGCAATTATAGAAATATAAGAATGAATTAAAAATTCACTATTTAAATACTTTTAACACTATTACTTCATTTTATTTTTTTAATAAACCTACGATAGGAAAATTCTTCATTTTTATCATGGGAAAATATAATTAATCCCCTGTGCTTGGATTTATATTGTGTACATTTAGATTGTTTACCGATCTATATCTAGTAATGAAGTTATTTAACGTATTTGTATTGCCGAGATTGGAGTATCCTTATATTAAATGTAAATTTTATTACTGTTCGCACTAACTAATAATACACATCATTTCAACAAACATTTTTAAAATGGTTTTCTTTCAAGATAGGTGTATACATTGTAGACATGTGTATACATCTCTTGTATGAAGGGATTAATTCGTCACGTTATGGTTTCTCGGACGGGGAAAAGCTGTAATGGCTGTCAAGTTGTATGTTGTAGAATAATCTGGTTGGATTTTTAAAATTTTAAATCTCATCAAAAAGCTTGTTGTCTTAATAACATTAATTCATAAGTTTTGAAAGTTGTGTTATTATTTACCTCCATTATTCTGTATTGTCTTGTATATATAGTAATGTTTAGTTTTGTTAATGGATTTTCCGTTGGACAAATAAACGTTGTTATAGGTTCCTTCGTACAGGCGGTTTGACTTTTTCTGACGAGATGACTTAAAATTTCATTTAGTCATGTCAAATAATGCAAACAAATCCGCTGAAATGTGACCGTATTACTTAACATGAGTTACTTTAATGACGAGCTCCCAATCAGTTAGAAACGTTTCTACGAACAAATGTATTATTATGTTCCAAAATCAGATTTTCGAAACCAATTTATTTCGGTTTTCAATATCACTTTGGGATCAGGTCTCAATATTTATTTAATATATCGCGTCGGGATAACGTGGTCATCACGGCGCCATCATTTGATATGAGAAAATCATTTCGCGATCACGCCTACATCACGTTGGAGTCACTAGTAAGATCTATTAATTAAAT